AGGGCAGGGCCAGCTCTAGGATTTTTGCCGCCCCAAGCAAAAAAATTTTTGGCCGCCTCCCCTTTCTTTTTCGTGATGAAAGCTGGAGGCATGTAGGTAAGTATAGCGGTCAGTAGGTTTCCGGTATAGGGTGGTGTTTATGTGACCATTGCTTATTAGCATAGTAGTGTCCAGGAAGTGGATCTCTTGTGTGGACTGGTCCAGGCTGAGGTTGATGGTGGGATGGAAATTGTTGAAATCATGGTGGAATTCCTCAAGGGCTTCTTTTCCATGGGTCCAGATGATGAAGATGTCAGCAGTGTAGCGCAAGTAGAGTAGGGGCATTAGGGGATGAGAGCTGAGGAAGCGTTGTTCTAAGTCAGCCATAAAAATGTTGGCATACTGTGGAGCCATGCGGGTACCCATAGCAGTGCCGCTGACTTGAAGGTATACATTGTCCCCAAATGTGAAATAGTTGTGGATGAGGACAAAATCACAAAGTTCAGCCACCAGGTTTGCCATGACATTATCGGGGATGCTGTTCCTGACGGCTTGTAATCCATCTTTGTGTGGAATGTCGGTATAGAGGGCTTCTACATCCATAATGGCCAGGATGGTGTTTTCTGGAAGATCACCAATGGATTGTAGTTTCCTCAGGAAGTCAGTGGTGTCTCGAAGATAGCTAAGAGTGCTAGTAGTGTAGGGCCTGAGGAGAGAGTCTACATAGCCAGACAATCCTGCTGTCAGGGTGTCAATGCCTGAGATGATGGGGCGTCCAGGATTTCCAGGTTTATGGATCTTGGGTAGCAGATAGAATACCCCCGGTCGAGGTTCTAGGGTGTGTCTGTGCAGATTTGTTCTTGTGCTTTTTCAAGGAGTTTCTTGAGCAAATGATGTAATTTCTTTTGGTAACCCTCAGTGGGATCAGAGGGTAATGCAGACTAACATGGCTACCACTTAGAAATAAGAATACGGACAGAGCTGATTTTGTAAAAAAACCATAGCTACTGCTTTAAAGACCATGACATACGAGTAATTACTGGAGCGACCATGCCATCTAGAGGCTTTCTGATGTTAGTGCTTAATGTGGATTCTAACAAAAAATGCACTGGGGAGAATGGAAGCTGCTACAACTTAAAACTAGAGCTGTTAAGCGATTAAAAAAATTAAGTGTGATTAATTGCTCTGTTAAACAACAATAGAATACCATTTATTTTAAATATTTTTGGATGTTTACTACATTTTCAAATGCACCTCTACCCTGATATAATGCGACCCGATATAACACGAATTCGGATATAATGCGGTAAAGCAGCGCTCCGGGGGGGCGGGGCTGCGCACTCCGGTGGATCAAAGCAAATTCAATATAATGTGGTTTCACCTATAATGCGGTAAGATTTTTTTGGCTCCTGAGGACAGCGTTATATTGGGGTAGAGGTGTATATTAATTTCAATTACAACACAGAATACAAAGTGTGCAGTGCTCACTTTATATTTTTTTTATTACAAATATTTTCACTTTAAAAAACAAAAAAAATTATTTTTCAATTCACCTCATACAAGTACTGTAGTGCAATCTCTTTATCGTGAAAGTTGAACTTACAAATGTAGACTTGTGTACAAAAAAAACTGTATTCAAAAACAAAACGGTGTAAAACTTTAGAGCCTGCAAGTCCACTCAGTCCTACTTCTTGGTCAGCCAATCACTCAGACAAACAAGGGTGGTTACAATTTTCAGCAGATAACGCTGCCTGCTTCTTGTTCACCTTGTCACCTGAATGTGAGAACAGGCATTCGCATGGCACTGTTGTAGCTGGTGTTGCAAGGTATTTATGTGCCAGATTGCTAAACATCCATATGCCCCTTCCATGCTTCGGCCACCATTCCAGAGGACATGCTTCCATGCTGATGTTGCTCATTAAAAAATAATGCGTCAATTAAATTTGTGACTGTTCTCCTTGGGGGGAGAACTGTATGTCTCCTGCTCTGTTTTACCCACATTCTGCATATATTTCATGTTATAGCAGTCTCGGATGATGATCCAGCACATGTTTGTTTTAAGAACACTTTCACAGCAGATTTGACAAAATGCAAAGAAGGTACCGAGGTGAGATTTCTAAAAATAGCTACAGCACTCAACCCAAGGTTTAAAAATCTGAAGTGCTGTCCAAAATCTGAGAGGAGCGAGATATGAAGCATGCTTTCAGAAGTCTTAAAAGAGCAACACTCTGATGCGGAAACTACAGAACCCAAACCACCAAAAAAGAAAATCAACCTTCTGCTGGTGGTGTCTGACTCATGATGATGAAAATGAACATGCGTCAGTCTGCACTGCTTTGGATTGTTATCAAGCAGAACCCATCATCAGCATGGAAGCATGGCCTCTGGAATGGTGGCTGAAACATGGAAGGGGCATACGAATGTTTAGCATATCTGACACGTAAATACCTTGCAACACCAGCTACAAAAGTGCCACACAAATGCCTGTTCTCACTTTCAGGTGACATTGTAAATAAGAAGCGGGCAGCAGTATCTCCCATCAATGTTAACAAACTTGTTTGTCTTAGCGATTGGCAGAATAAGAAGTAGGACTGAGTGGACTTGTAGGTTCTAAAGTTTTACATTGTTTTGTTTATGAGTGCAGTTATGTAACCAAAAAAAATGTGCATTTGTAAGTTACACTTTCACGGTAAAGAGATTGCACTTCAGTACTTGTATGAGGTGAATTGAAAAATACTATTTCTTTTGTTTATCATTTTTACACTGCATATATTTGTAATCAAAAATAATAATATAAAGTGAGCACTGTGCACTTTGTATTCTGTATTGTAACTGAAATCAATATTGAAAATGTAGAAAAACATCCAAAAATATTTAATAAATTTCAATTGGTATTCTATTGTTATAAGTGTGATTAATCGTGATTAATTTATTTTGAGTTAATCGCGTGAATTAACTGAGATTAATTGACAGCCCTATTTAAAACCAGATTCTGGGGGCCTATTCTAACCTCTCTCACTCACTACGGAGTGTGACTCGATTGATGCTATTAGTTACTCCTGATTTCCAATGGTGGGAGTGAGCTCAGCATTGATATGTGATACATCTCCCATCTCCCATCACCCTTAGGGATGTGGAATTTGAGTTCTCTGAGCACCCGGGTAAATAATAAACACCGTGATATACCTGAAAGGGTTGTGTTTTCAAAGGACCCCAGATATGGGTATTTGCAAAAGTTGGCTACACAAATCCGGTAGAATGAAATTCACCCCTGCTTCACAGGGCCAGTGCAAAACCTCTTATGCATTGTGTGGGGTGGGTGGGTGTGGCCAGGCCATGCAGGAGAATCTTTGTACCATCTATGTGCTCACTACTGACCTAGAAGCAGGGTGTGGGAGAGGCTGTAGATCCCCTGGTCCCAGTGCCTCATGGAAGCAGTAGCTGTTATTCCCGCCCAGACTGGCGTAGCAGCCCCAGAGTGTGAGGCAGCCCTGGTCCTGAGCTGGGGGGTGGATTTCACCTCTGATGACCTCCATCCGCTTAGAGCCTGAACCCTCTGGCTTTCTGCGTGTGGGGTGAATTTCAGCCAAACTGCAGCATGCTGATTTGGCAGTTAGACACGTGCTAATAGGCACATGCACTAATCAGGGGTTATTAGCTCCTTTGTAAAGTGTTTTGAGATCTGCTGATATACAGCCCTATATAAAAGCTAGGCATTATTATTGATCTGAAAACCTGACTCTAAAGCTACCTTTGACATACGCAAATCCCTAAAAATCACCACAGCCAGCAATTACGTTGAGAGTTTCTTTGCAGGCTAAATGTTTTCTATGGAGTTGTTCTAAGGCCAAAGGGAGCAACCATCAGATTATGCTGCTGTTTACATGCGCTTTTAACTTGTTTTTTAAACCATGACCATGTGTCTTTGAAATCTGCAGATGGGCTGGAATCTAAACCCCTCTTCTGAACACCAAACATTTCTGTTACTCCATCCTCATTTCCCAGACAAACTGAGCTTTTATCTGTGTCCCTGTCTCTGAGCTAAATTTTACCCTGGGAAATAAGCACTGCTATGCAAATCGGGAGTAACTCATCCAAATCCATCCCTGGCATAACGCCATTGTTGCCCTGCAGTTACTCCGAGGATGATTCTGGCCCGTTGACTCTGGTGGGACATAATTTCTTCCTTGTTTCTTTGCTAAACCATAAGATCCAACAGACATCCTTCCCCCCTCCCCCCCCCCCGCCTCCAAAATCATAAAGGTGTTATAAGGGAAATGCAGACTTACATCAAATCACGGAAGCTGTTAACGTAGGCTACTAAATATGGCACAAACAACAAATCCTCTCTCTCTTTGTACCACTCCACAAATGCCTTCCTGAATCTGCAACAGAAATTTCAGAAGACGTCATTGCTGCTGGTTGTCAATAAAACAGGGTCGAGTTCTTAATGAATTCTTTAACTAATAGAGCTGCAGTGACCTTGCTGCATGTAATGGGGATAAAGAGACAAATTCACTGCTTGCCCATGCCGTTCTCAAAGTACTTGCATTTTTTATCTGTGCGTTATGTGCGTTAGAGGAAGATATACCATAGATAATAATTGTTTGGCTTTGTGCTTGCTTGAATCTGAAATCAGCAAAGCTCAGGATGGATTCCAGAAATGTTTCCCCATAAAAGGGTATAGGTGAAAATTCTGATCTTTAGTTATGGGTGATTAAATGTGTCATTGATAAGTGGGCTTGTAAATCACTCCTGTAATTTCTGGAGGACTTGTGGCACCTTAGAGACTAACAAATTTATTAGAGCATAAGCTTTCGTGGACTATAGCCCACTTCTTCGGATGCATAATTTCTGTAGCTTTTGGAGCAGTGTAATGTATACCTACTTTAGCCCAAAGGAAAGTGCTTTAGCTTAAGGCTCATTTTACAACAGAAACCAAATATGAGCAAGGCAAAACACCTACACTTACACCACACTGACAAAATATGGGGGAATCAGGTCTATATTTCCTATATAATGCACCTTTAAGGACACTGGTGTGTACAGAGACAAGCAGCCACTTTGCACTGAGGTCCATACAGACTTTGGGAGGAGACACACAATGCATACTCTCATGGAGACTTTACTTTTGTTCTTTCTTGTTTTATTGCTCTGTTAGTTTTAGATTAACTTATTCAGACTGACAACTTCAATTTGCATATGCTGCCTAAGAAAACATATAAATTGGGCAGCATATTCCAGTGAGTTATTCAGTCAGGTGCTTATCTTCCCTTGTGTGGGACTCACATTGGGACTCCATTTATAGAAGGAAGTTTAAAAAAAATAAAAGGGAAAGGAACATCCTTAGTTCAATCACTTTTAATGGTGAAACCAAAATATTGTTCTTATTAAAAAAAATCTCAGACAAACTGCTGGTGTGAACTCCCCAGGATTTCCCTATGGTAACTGGGAGATTAGAGATGAGACTTGAGGGATAATTATTGTCTTTAACATTTTAAATACCTGTCATGCATCACAAAATGCTACAATTTCACATATTAGAACAGAAATTTGCAGTCTTCCACACTTGATTTTGTAAAATACTTAATAGCAAACTACCATTTGGCTCATTCGTGAGGTGCTAAATTTCACCAGTTAATGCACAATTATTTTTAGTCTCTGTTTGAGTTGATTCATGCTGAAAGGTCCTTCACTTTTTTGCAACTTCAGAGTGCTGATCTGAAAACTGGGAATACTTAAATACAACAAACTATGGGCCGTAGGAGGTTTAGACCTGTCCCAAGATGAGGAAATAACTTTTTCATCTATGGAACCCAAATCTTTCCAGGGAGTGTCCCAAATCCGTGTGATGATCTAGAGAACTGAAGAGGACACCAGGACTTGAACGTTAGAGGTATTAAAATATAGGCATTTAGCCATAACCCCAGTGGCTACTCCCATGCAGAAAGTACGTAATTCCACCTAAGGGGCAGAATAATCTCCACTGCTAGAACTGAGTGAAGTTAAGTGAGATTCAGAAGTCAGGCTAGAAATGAGTTGTGCATATTCTGGGCCTGATCCTTTGCCCATTCAAGTTAATGGCAAAGGTCTCATTGGTTTAATAATGCAGGATTGAGGCCTGCGTCCCTTATTTGGGCATGCTCAGTACTACGTTTAATTGTTGTCCAGTACTTACATACCACAGAGATAACTGGAAATCCAGTTAATACTGACAGATAGAAAACCCCTTTTCAGCCATCCCTGTTTACAGAGCTGACATCAGATGTATGAGAGACGTGCTGTATGGGAGACTCATGCGCCCATCTGTCTATTTACTATTGTGTATGTTGATTGTTTTGGAAATCTCTCAGATCCTCTGTTAAGTTTGTCAGGCTCACAAGAATTCAGACGAATCCTGATTTTCCTAGAAGCAAGCACATGCGAGCCCGGTGCTAGTGTTAGGCCCACAGTATGAATACTACTACTGAGCGGTGGCACCAGGATACCCATTTTGGCAGGACTATGTTGCCAGAAACAGCACTGACCTTGGTATGAATTCTCTCAGTTCTCTTATGCTGATCTCAAGAGTTGCAGTTTCCAGACTTCCCAAGATTTTGCCAGATTCGTTCTTATGCTGTCCAATGAACTAGAAAAGAGTCAGACGAGAATCCAATGAATGGAAGGACAACAGCAGAAAAGCCTTTGTCCAATGAACTTGTGTAACTTGGGTCAGCACTAAAGTTAGTGATCTGCGTATCTAGGGGGAGAACCCCGTGATATTTACCAGACTTATTTTGGCACTTTCTTTTTAAAACAATAATCCAGAATGGACCAAGAATTTATGGCGTGGTAATTCATGTCTAAGGTTTCAATGTGCTGTCTAAGCAACCAAAGATGAATTATCAACAGCCCTGAACTGCCTTGATGCAAATCTCTCTCTTCTGAGCCCTTGTTTAAGGCCCAGTTCTCTGCCCAGCACCAGTGAGTAGCTGCTCTGAACACTGGGGAGATGTGCATGGAGTGGAAGGTTTCCTCTCTCCCAGCCGGTGGAGAGCAGCTAGCTATGTAGCTCTAACAAGAGTCACAGCAGGGATCAGAGAGCTGCAAAAGTGGCTTGAAGCTGCCTTGACTCCAGCTCACACAAGCTGTTCTGAGAGCAGCTCAGGTGCCTTTTTAACTCCAAAATCCTTATTTGTACTTGAATCACTTCCTGTACTGACTACTGTACTTCATTCTCTCTCTCTTCTCTCCCCTCCCCCTGCCATGGTCCCTCCTAATTTCTACTCACACAACTTCAGCTGTGTCTGGAAAGTTAGACAAGCTACAATCTTGCTCAAATGCTGTCCACGACATCCTGCCCATCTGCTAATCCAATTCAAATCTGTCTTTCTGGTTATCAAAAATGTGCAATATTCTTCTATGGAAAGTGAGTCATGGCAGTGGAATAAAAATCTTTGGTTCTGTTTCTCCCCCCCTAGTATTATTTAATTGAAATGATTCAACCCTTTGAAAGTCATGAAAATGATTCTAAAACCCTCCTGGCTTTATTATCCTGCAGCCCCTGATGCTAGTAGGAGCTTTTTGTTTTTTCTTACTGTTTAAATTGGAGTGGCTGTCACTCTACCAGCTCCATTTCTGAGGTTGCAGCAGCCCTGGGACAAAGTAGCTCTTTCAGCAAAGAGGCTTTTCTAACAAACCATTTTAAATCTCTTTGATTAGAATTTTTTTTTTTTAAGACTTTAAAATCAGTTGCCTATTATGTCTGTGACACAATTGACAGCAGGTTTAATTTGCAGCTAAGAGGCGAGTGGTAGAACTAAAAGGTGTAATAAACGCCATTTTTTCACCTCCTAATGTATTCTGTGAGCGTGTGACGAACATAAATTATCACAGGAGGCAGCAGCTACATACCAGAATGTAATATTTAAGAATGTACTTTATACACGCTAATCAAATACCGTTTGAATATCCAAGGACAGCGATGAGTCGTACTCGGTTTGTGAGGTTTCTGGCTGCTTTTCCTCCTTCCACTTTTTTCTGGTCTCCAGCTTCAGAATGTTATCCAAATAGTGCTTTATTTTCTCCTAAATGTTAAAGGGGAGAGAGGGATGGAAACTTACAGATCAGCATTAATAAAATAAACAGAGGTTAATAAATACACACTGTGTAGTGCACATCCTGGAAAAGCACAGGCATCCGTGCAAGGGGAGCTTGGAAAGGTTCAAGAAGAGCTCTGCAGCAGACGTTCCTGGGGCTAGACCTTGCCACTGTTGCTCGTGGTGATGAGTGCTCACTCCCAGGATGGGTGCTGTTGCCTACTGTTCATGAGACTCATGCTCACCAGTGTGAGTAGGGGAGGCACAATCTCTCCCTCCTGCTGGCTTTTATGTGGGGGCAGCAATTGAGACCTGGAATATTCACTACAAAGCACATTTTTCTTACCATCCTACAAATCACAGGCACTTAGCTGGTGTGCTGCATTTAGCTATTAGTAACCTGTATAAAACTGACATGTGCAATCAAAAAAAAAATCATATGTTCCAAACCCTTTACAATCTTTATAGAACCCCTATGGAAATCAGGAGACCGTTACTGTTTAAGGATCGTATTCGGCACTCAGTTACTCTCAATCTGAAATCACTCCATTAATTAGAAAGAAGAGACAGATTTTCTGCAGTGAAGGTAATTAATCACTGGAATGGTTCACTTGGGGCCGTGGTAGATTCTCCATCACTTAGTCTATGAATCAAGACTGGATGTCTTTGTATGAGATATATTCTACTGCAAGTTATAGGTTTGATGTGGGATCAACTTGGTGAAATTCTATGGTCTGTATTATGCAAGAAGTCAGACTAGATGATCATAACAGTCCCTTCTGGCATTAACATTTGAGTTACTCCGGTTTGACACTGGGAGGACTGGACCAAATTCTGCTTCCTGAATATTAAATCTGTCCTCCAGCTGCTGGTGAAACAAAACAGTCCGTAGGAGAAAGGGTTGGAAATGCTGATTTTAATCATAAAAAGTCACATTCTGATGTCCTGACTTGTACTGAATAATGCCTTGTTCCGTAAGCAGTCCCCCTGAAGTCAGTCGGGCCCACTGATCAGTTAAGATCCTGTTCAGTGGAAAGACATCAAAATCTGGTCCCCAAATGTTAATTTCAAAAGCATTTCACATTCTGACACGCTGGGGAGCCCTAAATACCAAGTGAGCCAAGATACCTGACTGAGCAAAATAGGTGCAACTTTCTTGAAAGGCTTTGCAGCTACGCTGATATAGCTATACCAGCAGAGCCCCCTAGTGGTGGAGTTACAGCTTACACTGGCATAACGTGATCTTTTGCTGGTGCACTTACACCACCTCCCCAAACGACATAAACTATACTGGAAAAAGGACTCTTTGGCTGGCATAGTTGCATCTACACAAGAAGGGGAGGTGCTGGCATAGCTATATTGGTTAAGGGTGTGGATTTTTTCACACCCCTGACCAACACAGGGGTGTGAAAACTTTGTAGCATAGACCGGGCAGAGTTGAGCAGTCTGTAATGAAGCTTGTCACTGCAATAAACTCAAAGCACGAGTGGAATTTTAAAAAACATAAATAAGCAACATTCACTGATCATATTTTTGAAATATCTCATTTAAATGAGTCTATTATATTTTCTAGGGGGTTTCTCTTAAACTTGGCTAAGTATGGTTGTGAATTGTCCTTGTGTCTGTATAATGTATGACGTCACTGGAGTTACTCTGCGTTCACATCAGTGTAATAGATTGGAATCAAGCACCACATTTAGATAGCGCGCTTCCATTTCCTCTTTCTGTTCATTTAAGGCCAGGTTCTGCCTGGTGCTGAGTGCCCCGTATCAATAGGAGTCAAGGGCGCTCTGCCTACTGCAGCATCAAACCCTGTAAGAGAGACTGTGATTGGAGGATGCAAACCCCACACTGGAGAACAAGGGATTAAGGAGCAACTCTGGTCCCTGGCGACCCCACCCTACTGCATCTGCGAGGCCTGCATGAGAAGAGAGGTTTAAAAGGGGAAGCAGAGCCATTTAGAGGAAGTAGGCAGTGGAAGGGAGCCTCTCTGAGCCCTGGGGAAGTGCTGCCTAGGAGCTCTCGCTGCCTGAGACCTGGCAATGCAGATCTGACAAACCCTGCAAAGGAGAGACTGGTGATGGATTGTGAAGGTCAAAAACTTTATTTGCCGTTCATTAATTTATCCCATGGAGAAAAGGGCGATTTATGGGATTCATGGAGGCAGCTGCTTAGCACCTCAAGGTGCAGAACTTAGCTGCCCACTACCGGGCCCTGGATCGGAGTCCAGTGGCAATGGTGGGACCAGACTCCCCTACCAACTTCAAAAAACAGGACAACAATAGAAGCATTTACCTTGGTGGAGAATCCAACTCGGAAAGACCCTGAATATTCCCAGGCCCCAAGTCCCCAAACTAAGGTGACAGCCCCGAAGCCCATGCGGGTGCTGAAAGACTTCCACGTGATCAGACTTTTTTTTTTGGTATACCCCAAAAGGGCTGAACTGAGATGTTTGACCCAGCTGGAGGGCTGAGCCTCAAAAGACGGGACAGCCCTACAAGAGAGAGTTATAACTGACAAGGGGGCACATCAGGGAAGGAGACAACCTGCTGTACTCCCCCCTGACCACTAGGCAGCCCTGGTGGTGAGCGTTCCCCTTTGGAGACATCTGAATATTCTATGTAGGAGGCTGGAATTATTTGTTCCTGTATAAGCCAGACAACAGGGCCCAAAGTCTTACCGCTAGAGAATCCTTGTAGTCCTTTTTCAGTTTATCCCAAGTTTCTGATGGTAACAACTGAGGGAGATTCTCAGTCTTTACCTCCGCTTGGAGATCAGGGTGTCCCAGGAGAGTTTTGCTACAAAATTCAAATGAACACATTAGGTTGCCTTGGAGAGTAAGTAAATGGAATATTCATGTTGCATGAGCTACATAATTATCATCTTGTGTGAAATTTACTTAAAGCTTAAACTATGTGGCATGCTTTCAGGCTTTAACAAGAAACCATTCCTCACTATTTAAAATTGTAATTCTTCAAAATCGTAGTGGTTCTGAAGACTAGGTTTCAGCCCAGTTTAGAAAGCATGAAACCCTTGTGTTGCTTGGACATGAAAAGTTTTATATAAACAAAAAAACATGAAACTGATTCATTTAACAATGAGTTGTTGGGATTTTTCTAGAGCTTGTTCCAGTAACATTGTTTTTGTTTTCTTTGGCTTTAGCTGGTCACACTGTGTGTCTATTTCCTTGTGAAGATAACAATGAAAGATCACAGCTCAGCTCATCTGGGTGATATTCTGAAGGGCAGTGTCTGGAAATCATGCAAGGGTACAAACAAGTTTGGACATGAGAAACATTTCCTTGCCTACGGAAGAAGTAGGTGGATGCTGAACTAGAGGCTGATTTTAAAGGGAATTGAATTAATAAACTACTTTACTTTACCACTCATTTCTCCCATGAGTTACCATGCAATACATGACAGCTGATTAGTGGGACGGTAGAGTACCACTTTGGGGTAGAAACAGATGTGCTGCTTACTCAATAGCAAAAAATCCATTATTGGGTGCCATTATGATTCAATATTGTACGATATTCAAATGTGCTATCCACCAACCCATCCATACTCTGCACAAGCAAGATCAATTTACAACTCTGTCTTCTAAATACAGGATGAGAAAGGAAGAGAAAATGTTTGTAACCTCCTTGAATGTGGAACATGAATTACTAACTATTCACTAGAGCTATATCCGGAAGTCAGCTGCAATGACAACATCTCATAAGGGGCTTTATCTTGTACTCAAAACTCCCATAAATTGCAATTAGGTCTGAGTACAGAGTGCAAGATCAGATCTAAGTTGAATGAAAACTGCACTGTATCAAGTCTGGATTCTGGCAGGCTAATGCAGAGGGAGCTTATTAGGAAAGAGTTGGTGGTGTTGCCCTGTCATCTGGCCAAATTTGTGGGTTGGGAATGTATAAGATGTCATTAGCTGTACAAATAGTGTGTACTCCAGCATGCTGCATGAATGTGTCATTCATTTAAAAGTACACCCAACCTAGATAGCGCCTTTCTGTCTGAATTTTTTTTACCCACTGCTCTTGCAAGTAAAGACTCAGATGACTTTATATGAAAGAGAAATGTATTTTGCTTTTTGATTTTTAGTTTGTTTGCTTTAGTTTATTTTGACAGGATGTTTGGTATAATCAGCTTCAATCTCACTTCTGTGTAATCAGATTCCTCTGTTTATGTGGGTTTTACACACAGTAATGAGAGGGAAAATATTTCTTAAAATAAGAAAAATGCAATTGTAAAGTCACAAAAACTGGCAAGGGGACTCAGGCAGATGTAGTAGGAGGCGTGAACCGGAGTGACATCGTTCTTCGACTAGGAGACAGGGACCAAGAGACTTTCTCCGTTGGATCATATGAAGTGGAACCATAAACTCCCTGAACATTGAATTTCACCAAATGAGGGTCAATCTATCTTCATCATCATATCCACTCATTATACTCCACACTGGAACATAGCCATTATATGAACATCATACCCTCATATCTCAATGTCTGTACTTTGACCCATCAACCTTTTACTCCCAATCGGGGATATTGCAGATTATGTATTCCTTAGGACACCCAATCTTAAACCGAACTTCGCACCCCTCGATAATCTGTATGTGATTCCTTGATAACCAGAAACTTCTGTGCTTAAATTCTGTACCGTTCACTTTTTTTTAAGCATCAACTTAATAAAAATTTTAAATCTGAAAGTACTCGAAACTTATGGCTAGATTTCAAGTTGATGACATCTGGTTAAGTAAACAACTTCACATCCAATGCAATTTAAATCACCATTTTTGAACAGGGATGCATAAAGCTAAGCTCCTCAATCAATAGTTAAGCACTTATATATAAGTGGCTCAATCTATCCACCTCTTTTGCAACTGCTTTTGTGTTTACTTCAGTGTCATTGGAATGCCCTTCATGTGCCGGTTGGCCTGTCTACTGCCCTCTCCTCATTCAGGTTCCCCCTTAAGACCCACCCACACCTGCAGTGATGCTGCTCTGCAATTAGCCAGCCACTAATGTGTAGGTAGAGAATCTGTATAAACAAGCATATCATAAACAAGTCCAGCTGATTTGCATATTGTATCCTTTTTCCTCCACCCTTCATGTATTTCTATTGTCTTCGTAGGGCTTATCTACATGGAGTGGCAATGCGCACTAGAAAGGTGTGACTTCTAAAATGCACCAATGTGTTGTGCACTAACTAGAAATGTGGACCCTGCTGGGGCTCACTAAAAGTTCCCTCCTGTGTGCTAACGTTGAAACAGAACTTTTTCGTGTGCACCAGCCAGGTCCATGTGGGCCAGTTTGTCGCACAACATGTTGGTGCGTTTTAGACATCTCACCCCGGTAGTGCACATTGCTGTACCATGTGGACAAGCCCTTAGACTCAGTAAGCTGTTAGTGCCAGCCCCAATGTCGTGTTGCGTATCTGTACTCTGTATACCACCAAGCACAGTTGGGTTCCTACTGTGCTGTAAATAATTTTTAGAGGTTCTGAGACCCCACACCTCTAAAGTTATTTATTTGAGCCAATTCCTCTTTTTCTTTGGGCTAATGCCATCTAGTGGTGTCCCACATACCCATGCTCAGGGGGTGGCCATCAGGTAGGATGACAATATTTCCCAAAGGGAAAATGGGACACCGCGTGGGGCTAGCCTGAGCCCCCCCTCTCGCCATGTGGGGCTGGCCTGAGCTGATCACCCAAGCCCCCTTCCCCGGTGGGGCTGGCGTCGCTGCTTGCCTGAGCCCTGCCTGCCCCCCCGCCCAAGCCCTTCCTCTCCCCCTGCCCAGGGATGGTGTCACCACTCGCCCCCACACCCGCATGTTCCTCTGTACCCCACTTTTTGACAAAAGTGGGCATTTGTCCCGCTTGCTCTTGCCAACTGATCAAGTTGGCAAGAGCAAATGGGACAAATGCCCACTTTTGCCAAAAAGGTCGGGATGGCCAGGACAGAGCTTAAAAAAGGGACTGTCCCAGCCAAACCGGGACGTATGGTCACCCTACCAACAGGGACAGGTGGCAGTGTAGATTCTTTCCAACCTGCATCACAGCTTAAACAGGTGCAGCCCAGAGTTCCTCCACGCACCATGCATTACAGCTGGAAAGATCTGCTAATAGAGGCTGCACTTTGCAAAATGTTTCCATGGGGGGGAACTGAGCTTTCTTAGAGCTGAAATATAACATTGGCAAGTGGAACTTATGGGTATCGTGAGCACTGCAAGTCAGTGACTAAGAGAAACAAGGCAATCTAAATGTACAGTGGATGCATGTGTTAAGCATTTTACGCACAAGCCTTTGCCACTATCTTTTATCAGATTGGTACGTTCCGTTATAGTTCAAGTGGTTGCATCTGTCTTACTCACATGGGAACCCAAGAATAACTAAAAGTGTCTTGAAGCACCTTGCAGATTTTCAGAGCCAAATTATTATTTGGAGGAGAGAGAGTTGGCATGGGGAATAGTAGCTTACCTATAGTACGTGTTAACAACCCAATCAAGTAATGCGTAAAGTTCATTGAATTCCAAGGGTCTCTGCAAGAGATTTTGCAGGTGTGAAGAAATGGCTCCGTGAAAGGACTCCACGTATCTTCCACAAACTTTATAATCATCTGGGTAACACTTTTGTAATGACTGCTTGATTTTCAATAAATCTTCAATAACACATTTTCTGAGGAACCCTAAATGGATAGCGAGCCAAGAATCATTGTCCTCCTTCAATGAAATAGGCACGTTACGGACTCTCTTTTCAGCACTCCCTCTGACAGCTTCCTTCCACACGTCTCGCCATTTTCTGGGTCTGCCAACCCCGTCCGATTCTGAAGAGCTGGGGCTCTGTACATCAGCATGAACTTTTTCTTCCTTGGAGATTACGGTCACCATAGAAGTCAACAGACTTTCATCTATATCGCACTGATCAAGTGTTTCCTCCACAATGGATCTGATTGAGTTAGCAACAGAGTTACAAAGCAAATCCACATCCTTGGCTTTCCGGGCATATTCTGTAGGATTGTCTTCATATTTCTTGGCCTCTTTTTCAGTTATAACTTCTTTCTCCAAACACCTGATGCTTGCAAATGCCTCCAAAAGTTGCTTTTTCTGAATAAGTTCATTTATTTCCATGACTGCAGAGAGAACATGGGCGGGGGAGAGAGCAGATTGTGAGTTTACTTTTAGATATTTTAATGTGCCTATTACAACAGTAAAGACCACAGGAGAGAGCAGTGTCTGAGTCAGGACTGCGGGGCTGCTTTGGCTCTCTACTGCATCCTGCGTGAAGAGTGGCATTCCAGGTCACCTTTAATCTCCCTAACTCATGTTTGACATAGAGGAGAAATACTGTTCAGATGAAATCACTGAAATATCCGAGCCATGGCTCACAGGGTATGTCTATACTGCAATGAAAGACCCGCGGCTGGCCCAGATCAGCTGACTGAGGTTCGTGGGGTTCGGGCTGCGGGGCTACGAAATTGCAGTGTAGATGTTTGGGCTGGAGCCTGGGCTCTGAGACCCTCCCCCATGGGATATGACCCAGTGGTCCTAGCCCCCCATGCTACTGGTGCACAGTGGTAGTGTCACTGTTCTAACCCAGATGTTGGGAGGGCTGGAGTGCAGCTCTGAGCTGGGGGCTAACAGCCTCTATCCATCGCCCCGTACTTTGCCTGCATGAACCTGATCTCTTGGGCTTTGTACCAGTGATGTGAATTTCACCTGAATGAAGAACCAACTTCTTCCAAAGCTCCTACCGTTCCAGCAGGTCTTGTGAGCTGTGGAAATGGCACTCAGGAATCTCTCTAGCATCTTGTGAGCAGGTCTTGTGAGCTATGGTGCGTTTTAGACATTCTGTGTCATTGGAATGCCCTTCATGTGCTGGTTGGCCTGTCTACTGCCCTCTCCTCATTCAGGTTCCCCCTAAGACCCACCCACAACTGCTGCCTTAGACAGCACATTGAAACGTTTGTAGCTCTAGCATCTCAAACTCCAAGATGGGACCGACTTAAAGCTCTTGCTCCGAACACCCCCAAACTTCTGTTTGAGTCTATGCCTGAATTTGGCAGCACAGGCCCATCTCTGCTTAGATATATTTCAGATTGGCGATCTTACTTGTGGTGCTATTTCTGGTTTGTACTGTGTATTTTAAAGCAAATATGCGTCATACAGCATTGTTCCTATAGTTGTCACTGTAAATCAGTCTGGCTGCGCAGATTTCACACTGAACATAAGACCACTGCATCAAGTCATCAGAGGAGGCAAGATCTACTGGAGAGAGCCCTGGACTGAGAGCTGGGATTAGATCCCTGTCTCCCAGCTCCACCAGTGCTATGCTTGTGACTTTGGGCAAATCATGGTCCCTGCGCCTCTGTTTTCCCCTTCTCTCCCTTTGTCTGTATTGTAACTTTTTTCTGGGCAAGTGTTCTCCAACGTATGTTTGTACAATGCCTAGTACAATGGAGCCCTGATTTCAGTTGAGGCCACTATGTGCTATTGTAATAGAAATAATAATATTTGCATGAGTCTACTAAATAGATCTCAAAGAATGGGTCTGACTCATCCCCACCGTAACTTCCTTGAAGCCAAAGGAGCCCCACCATGGCTGGCACGACACCGTCATTTTGCAGACATGCACATAACTACTAGGTACTGACTATTCGCTGTAACGCTGGTTTCCAAGCACTGTATGCTGTTACCCAGTCTGGGAGGGATGGGGAAAATCCATTCTCAGTCTCCGGTCACTTTAGGAGTGGGGGGCCTTCCTTTTACACTCCCACTCAGCTGAGTTATCTACTGTGCAGATTTTGAAAAACGATGATAAAAGTGCCTTGAAAACACAGTTCTAAGGGACCACAAACAGCCAGCATTATACCTCGCCAAGCCATAGGAGTGAAGGTAGTTTGCTAGTAATAATTTGAACCAATTTCGTTGGTTGATGCACCATTTGGACTATGATAATCATCAGGCCGGCTCCAGCTTTGTTGCCGCCCCAAGTGGCGAAAAAAAAAAAGAGAAAAAAGAAAAACCCGATTGAGCTGCCGCCGAAGTGCCGCCGAAGGGGAAGAGAGTGAGTGAAGGACCCGCCACCAAATTGCTGCTGCAGACTGGACATGCTGCCGCGCTAACGGACAGAGTGCCGCCTCTTTCTATTGGCCACCCCAGGCACCTGCTTCCTTCGCTGGTGCCTGGAGCTGGCCCTGATAATCATGGAACACTAGAGTCCAAAAAGGGGCTGATCCAATTAAATTTTCCATTTCCCACTGTCGCAGCAAGAACCGCAGCTCAGTCATTAGTCTAATTTCACTTGCTAACTAGAAATAGAGAGCGTACAAAACTGCCTTTCTGGATGCAGCACTGGTGTGACAGCAGAGATTCTCGCTGCTGTGTGAGAGACTCCTATTCTGGAGCATCTTCCGGCTCCCGGAGGTCACTGGGAACTTGATCCCTCTAAACGGGAGCTCTGGGTGTGGTGACGTGGCTAAGGGAGTTCAGTCTAGTCAGTTTATCAAAGAGAAAGTTTAAGAGGCAATTGGATCACTGTGAGTACCTAGGCAGGAAAGAGAGCTCTGATACTAAATGGCTCGTTCATCTAGCAGCCAAAGGCCCAACATGATTGAATGGCTGGGGAAACTGAAGGTCGACAAATTCAAACTGGCAATAAAACCCACTTTTTAAAAACAATGAGGGCAATTAACCACTGGAACAGCTTACCACTGAGTGTGGGAGATTCTCCATCACTTGTCATCTTTAAATCAAGATTGGGGGTCTTTCTAAAGGAGATGCTCTGGTGCAGACACAAGTAATTGGACTCAGTGCAATGACACAAGTTTATGCAGGAGGGGAGCCTAGATTATCATAATGGAGCCTTCTGGTCATGATCTGTGAATCTAGGCCATTAGGTATGCAAAGCTGACAAGATGGGCTCAGTTCCATTTTACAAAGCTCACGCTGTAACAATGTGAAGCAGTTTAAGCACCTTCACTGATATAGATCTCACAGTTGCCACACTGCCCTTCTAACCAGTCCATACAGTGGCATCAACAATGGCCTCTGGGTCTTGCCTAGATTAGAAATGTGGGTCAAGGTTAGGTCAGGGTGTATTAATTCATCTCAACCTTTTTCCTAAGTGGAAACACTGTGTTGCCTTTTACCTTGGCTAAGCAGTTAGAAGTGTTGCTTAGTCAGGTTGAAAGGCATTGCAATGTGTCCACTCTAGGAAAGAGATATGGTTAGGTAAAGGTCAGTTAACATAGACCCATTTTTCTAGAGTAGACATGGCCCATGTGAGTGCGCAGCCTTATGACTTGGCCTGGGGGAAAAAGGTGCAGCAGCATTACTGTAAGAAATAGCAAATTAAAGGGATGTATCAAGACAAGTGTCCCTCTTGAGGATCCTTCAATGCTAATAAAATACCATTTGAGGGGGGCGCAGAACATCCCATTCATGGGGTCTCCCTTGGTATCTGGGAGACCTGGTCTCTGTGCTCAGCCTTTAAAGACTCCAAAAAGACCTTGCAAGGGATCAGGCTATTCTCTACCCAGGCAAGTCCATTTCATTCAATGCTCTATTGCGCTGGGGCCCTGCAGAGTCTACTTTGATTGAATCTTATTAGAATCCTAGCAAGTGTTTTTACAGTGGGTTATATTTTCACCTCTTACCTGAGAGAATGGGCTCTGCCCCTGTATTCTCCCCACTCTTGTCCACACTGGTGTCGGTCATGTTTTTAGCACTGCTGCCCTCTTCATTTTGTTTGAAGCCTTTCAGTATAAAACCTTTGTTTCGTCTCAGGGTGCCAGAGTCTTCGCTTGCTTTGTCTTTGGCTGGACTTCGTTTACTTCTCCTGAAGCTTAACATTCTTTTGAGAGCACTTTCGGGGCTCTTTGCCTCCAGATTGTTCACGGGTGAGCTATTCAGTTCAGAAACAGAATCCGTTCCTTCATCCTCAGTGCTTTGTACTGGGGAGGCTGGTTCTGCTGGAGACGCCATTTTTTCACTGGGCTCAGGTATCTGATTTTCAGAAGGAGGAGGAGTAACTAGTCAAAGAAAAGAAACAGACAAGAGCAGAATTAAGCAGTAAGACTTACGTGGGATCTATGTAATGCTGGGATATTGCTGTGTCTCATGAGTCACCCTTAGGCATCAACTCTTTGTATCCCCCCAGTCTGTTGAATTGACAGAGGAGGCAAGTCTGTAATAGCCTTTGTTGCACCCCAGCGTAACCAGGGTTGTGAAGCATGAAGCAGTCTTGTCTACGCCTGCTGTGGATCAGGTCCCTGAAAACAAGAGCCCCTGGCAGGATGAGCATGGGGTGATGTTGCACTCTCTGATTTTATGAAAATATGCTAATGTGTGTGATATAACGTAACTGGAATATGCTTCATGCAAAAGGTCTCTTGTAATGTATCATCACAAAGCTTATAAGTGTCCCTCTTGAGGATCCTTCAATGCTAATAAAATACCATTTGACGGGGCCGCAGATCATCCCATTCATGGGGTCTCCCTTGGTATCTGGGAGACCTGGTCTCTGTGCTCAGCCTTTAAAGACTCCAGAAAGACCTTGCAAGGGATCAGGCTATTCTCTACCCAGGCAAGTCCATTTCATTCAATGCTCTATTGCGCTGGGGCCCTGCAGAGTCTACTTTGATTGAATCTTATTAGAATCCTAGCAAGTGTTTTTACAGTGGGTTATATTTTCACCTCTTACCTGCGAGAATGGGCTCTGCCCCTGTATTCTCCCCACTCTTGTCCACACTGCTGTTGGTCATGTTTTTAGCACTGCTGCCCTCTTCATTTTGTTTGAAGCCTTTCAGTGTAAAACCTTTGTTTCGTCTCAGGGTGCCAGAGTCTTCGCTTGCTTTGTCTTTGGCTGGACTTCGTTTACTTCTCCTGAAGCTTAACATTCTTTTGAGAGCACTTTCGGGGCTCTTTGCCTCCAGATTGTTCACCGGTGAGCTATTCAGATCAGAAACAGAATCCGTTCCTTCATCCTCAGTGCTTTGTACTGGGGAGGCTGGTTCTGCTGGAGACGCCATTTTTTCACTGGGCTCAGGTATCTGGTTTTTAGTAGGAGGAGGAGTAACTAGTCAAAGAAAAGAAACAGACGAGCAGAATTAAGCAGTAAGAATTACGTGGGATCTATGTAATGCTGGGATATTGCTGTGTCTCATGAGTCACCCTTAGGCAGCAACTCTTTGTATCCCCCACTCTGTCGAATTGACAGAGGAGGCAAGTCTGTAATAACCTTTGTTGCACCCCAGCGTAACCAGGGTTGGGAGGCACCTCACCATCACCTGCCTCGTGCATGAAGCAGTCTTGTCTATACCTGCTGTGGATCAGATCCCTGAAAACAAGAGCCCCTGGCAGCATAAGCATGGCCTTCCAGGCCTCCACAGACCACCCCCTCTCTATACAAGTAGCGATAGGTACACACCAACCTCCAAATACTCTGAGCGTTCCCTGCATGAATAGCCCCTTGTCCACTAAACTCTCACGGAATTTAGAGTGAGGCCTGCTGCTCCCAAAGGAACAGGACACACAAGCTTATAAGAGACAACTCTGGACCAGCTCTTTGTTTACCACCACAGCACACAGATATATTTATAGTGAAAACAAGAATCAGTTTATTATCAGAGACGAGAGATTCAAGTGATAGCGAGTGAGAATATGAAAACGAATGGTGACACAAAAACAAAATCATAACAGGATTTCTAGATACTAACCTTAACTGTCAAGTTACCCTCCTGTCTAAAGAAGCGTATCTCACCCAAAGTTCTCTCCAGAGTTTTCAACCAAGCCTGGTTGAGACCCCTGTTTTACGATGCAAAAGCACTTCCTTCAATCCCTGATGGCAGCCCTTTTACTCCCTCAGTGAAGGGGGCCTTTGTTCCCTCCAATCCCCAATATACTCAAGCAAACTTTTGCTATGCACCTCCAGAGAAGGCTCTCTTCTCCCCCCCCTGTGCTTCACTTCCTGTTAGATTATATCTAAGATTCTTTCTTACAGTCCTTCATCTGCATTCAGTTCAGACTGGCGATAGGGGACCCACTGTGAATGAGACAATACTCAGTTTACATGTAAATGGATAGGCATCTCCTGTCTGACAGACAACCTGTTTGTCACTTTTCCTGTTGACTAATATCTGGACACAGACTTTAAAAACATATTTTCTGCATATATGCACAACTCCTTTCAGAGTATCTGTACGTACCCATGTCACAAAGATATTGATGACCGGTGTGACGCCAGCTTTCATTTAAGACTTCACATGACATTCTTTGGTGAACCAGAATGTACAGACCAGAATCAGGTGATTCCTGTAACCCTTCTGCACCCCCTTGCCACTTAGCATTCAGAGGTCCTTGGGTCCCCTAACCCTACCTTCAGAGCCTGGCTCTGTAGCACAGGTTGTGCACGTGCATGCTCTTAGTCTAGAGGGCCCCAGTTCAATGCCTGAGAGCAGCCCTCTTGTATACTTTCGGGTATGCTATGCACTCTCAGTACCTAAACTGGTACCATTAGTTTCCCCCTCTAGCTGAGTTTAAAGCAATTTAGGGCGGATCTATGCATTAGCCAGATCTGCGCATTCACAGCCTATAACCCAGACATGTTAGCTTTGGGCTTGGTTGCTGCTGCCTTGTTTATGCACAGAGATCTGCAGACATTCAGCCTTGGAATCTGGCTTGAGATGTGGATGGTCAGTTATCGACATCACACAGCAGTGACTAAAGCACACTGAAAAGCCTCAGTTTTCGCCTCTAGTTCCTTAAATAAGAAATCAAAGCATAATGCTTTCTGTGCTCTGAATTGTCATGGTTACAGTTCTGCAGAGGCTACAAAATGCAATGAACTTTTATATAGCACACACTGTCTGAAAGCACTTCAAAGTCACACAAATCAAGGCCAGTCTGGGAACAGTTTGCAGATCGATCTGATTTTTTTTATTATTATTTTTTGGTCTCACAGGCCTTACCTACACTAGGAGCATTTAAAAACAGTTGCCCACAATTTCTAATATGTTAGGAGCCCGAGTTCAGGCAACGAGCCAGCTACTGACATCTTTTTCAGTGCCATTTCATCTCATTTCTCTTTATAGTAAAGGGCTAAATTGTGATTATTATTTTTTTAAGTCCTGTGCTGAGGAAGCCCTGGTGCAAGGGTAAGACACCGTGCCCCTGTGACAGCTCATAGAGGCACAGTGTCTCCCTTGCTTTCTGAAGGGAGGTTTGACTTCCGTATCTGGATGATTACCAAAGCCTGTTTAGTGTTCTGAATGCCCCATTACCCACCCTGGGAGGATCTCTAATTGCCTCCTCCGTGCAGACAGTGCCGCCACTGCCTCTGGGAGTCTGGCTGGGGCTGTGATGTGAATCCCTGGGGCCTCATGTCTCTGGCTGGCTGGGAAGGGAGGGTCCCGAATAAAGGTTTCTCCTTCCCACAGATGCTGCTGCTGCTTGAGATGGAGGCAGGGCCTGATATAAAATTTTTTATTAAGATGATGTTTTAAAAAAAAGTGAACGGTACAGAGTTTAAGCATAGAAGTTTCTGATTATCAGGGAATAACGTACAGATTATCGAGGGGTGCGAAGTTTGGTTTAAGATCGGGTGTCATAAGGAATATATAATCTGCAATATCCCTGATTGGGCCTAAAAGGATGATGAGTCAGAGTACAGACATTAAGATATGAGGGTATGAAATTCATATAATGGCTATGTTCGGGTGTGGAGTAGAATGAGTGGATACAATGATGAGGATGGGTTGACCCTCATTTGGTGAGATTTAACGTTCAAGGAGTTTATGGTTCCAGTTCATATGGTTCAACGGACAAAGTCTTTTGGTCCCGTTTTCGTAGTCAAAGAGCGATGTCGCTCTGGCTCACGCCTCCTGGTACTGTCGGTGGCCAGTGACGTGTTCGATGTAGATGTCCCTGGACCATCGGATGGTGTCTGAGACCATGCGGCGCCACATGAGCCGTGCATAGCATCAACCGATCCCGCAGGTCCGCAGCACACGCTCGTTGCTGGGGTCCCAGGCGCCCAAGGCTCCGACGATCAGGGAGTCCATCTGCACCTCGTAGCCCTTCGCTCTCAGAGTGTCTACTAAGATGGTTCCTTGGCCCTAAGTGCTTCTAAACTACCAGCAAATTACAGCACCGCTTCATGTCTGCAGAGCTGGGCTGGCCATGGAGTGAGGGGGTGGAGCCAGTGCTCCTCTCAGTCCCTGCCTGCTTGTTCCTGAGACAGTGAGCCTGCAGCCCCAAGGGCCTGGTAGCTGGCATAGGTATGTAAGGAGAGTCCTTGCTTCCCCTTCCTCCTTTGCGCAGCACTGTCATCCCGACACCCCCCGTGGAGTGTCCTCTTTTTTGAATGTTCAAATATGGTAACCTTACCACACCCCCACACCTCCACATGCTGTCCTGTGACTCAGGGTTCAACATGGGTTACATTGAGATGGCTTTGAGAACATTAGAATTGTACGCAAAGGCTGGGGACAGTTATGGTTATGAAGTGTTTATACTGCAGTAGCCCTCAGCAGCCCTGATAAGGATCAGGTCCCCACCGTGCTAGAGGCTTTACAAACATATCGGAAGGCACCGTCCCTGCGCCAAAGAATGCAATATTTACAATCTATTAGATAATATTGTGCAAGAGGGTGAAAACGTAGCAACACTGCAGTGAGGCATCAGAATAAAATAGCAGCGTTTTACCAAGATGGTAGGAAACAATTTGCAGGTAAGTCCAGATCACAGCATTAAAGTTACAATTTAAAAAAATAGGAGAGGTGAGATGCCATTTTTTTGTTTTTGATTTGGAACCGTCAAGTTGTACACTAGCTTAGCTAAATATTATTATTTATATTGTAGTCGCACCTATGTGCTCCGGTCATGGACCCCCACTATGTTAAACACCATAAGAACACAGAATAAACCACAGGCCCTGCCCTAAAGAGATTAAAATTTAAGTATAAAATAGGAAAGCGAAGGTGGATACAGACCGAGGGGGGAGCACAAAGTGTTTCATGTAGCTAGGTTAGGGGTTCTCATAACAAAAATTTTGGTGGCCTCAGAGTGCGGCCACCAATTCTTGCTGGTGGCCACTGACAAATTTTCTTAAAATACTTAATTAACTTTAGGAAAAACAAATAAATATGCACATACACACATTGAAATCATTGTAATTGATTTATGTAGGGCGCCTTTTGCAGACTCAATAAAAATCATGCACAGTTGTATTTTGGTTTGCTGCGTCCCTCCTCAGTCCCTCACCCACCGCTCGCCTCCTTCCACCTGCCACTCACCTCCTCACTCCCCTGCCAGAAACCCCCATACCCGAGAACCCCCGCCTGCCGCTGGCTCGCCGCTTCTTGCCTCCTCATCCCCGCCCACCCGCCGCTGGCTCCCTCATCGCTCACCTCTTCAACCCCCCGCTGCCCGCCGCTGGCCTTTTCACCCCCTCTTCCTCCCCTCTACAGTGGTGGGCCACCACAGGAAAAGCCAGAGGAGTGATACCTGTCCGAGCAGGCCCTCTGGAGAGCATGTCTAATGGCTCCTTCCTGTGCTCTGCAGGTAGCTGGGAATGAACATGGAGGCCTCTTGCTGCTGTTAGGATCCCTGCAGGGCACAGGGGGGTTGGCAGAGAAACTCACCTGGTTTAGCTGGCAGCAGCAGTTCCTTGCTCTCCTGAGAGCCTGGCAGCTGATCCCTCTCCCTACAGTGAGGCTCTCCTCCTCATCTTCTGGATTTCCAGGGGGCTTTATTGAAAACAGCCCGTACGAGGAAGAAAGTCAGTGTCTCCCAGGCAAAAGTCCCTGCAGCAGTGTGCTTCACCTGTTCAGGCGCGGAGACTGTTTTCGCTTTCACTCTTGCATGGATAACAGAAGGAAAGGGGACTAGGCCCTGGGGAAATTCCAGGAAAAGGAGAGTAATGATTTACAATGCCCTGGAGTGCATGAACCTATGTACCCGAGTCTGTAAACACTCAGCCGGCTGCTGCCGTGATTCTTTTGAAGGTCATTGTGTGCAGCAGGGAAAAGGGAATCTTTCCTTAGCCCCAAAATGATCTGTGCAAGTATATTTCTCTGCCCGAGGCTTGTGTGGGCTCTGGGCAACATTCTGACCTATTACCACTGTGGCTGTGCAATCCCAGGCAAGTCTACAAGAGGAGAAAAGAATTTGGTTTTGACCCTTGTGGATTTGAACCCCAACAATATTTGCTTTGGGGTCCAAATGCATGTCCAACCAAATCTCAATTGCAACTGTTGTATTTAGCCAACTGTCCTACATTCCCTGGAATGATTCACTGGCTTGGCTTGTGCAATGAAAAGATAAACCAGGAGAGCTGTGTGTGTGTTCAGGTGGTGGTGGAAATACTTTGTTCACCTCTTCTCTCTGTGCACCGGTCAGAAGAGCAGCAAAAGTATACCAGATTGCTTATGGGGACAGTTAGAAGAGCTAAGGATCAGTGTAGTTGCTTAGCTAGTTAGTGATTTTTAAGTGCTTTAACCCTTTCAAGCCTAGAATGGGCTGAGATCTGATCTTTCTCCCTATGGCCTTGGCTACACTTGCAGCTGTACAGCGCTGTGAGGTAAACCTGTCTTCGTGCAGCTGAGTAGGGAAAAGCACTGCAGTCTGTCCACGCTGACAGCTGCCAGTGCAGTGATATGGCCACACTTGTAACATCTGCAGCTGTGTTGGGAGGGGTGCATTATGGGCAGCTATCCCAGCAT